ATATATATAAATGCCTTAAGGATGTAGCTTTGTGGAAATGGGAAAAATCACAGTCCACTATTTTGTCACTCCCTTCCCTCCCGCTAACAATCAGGAAATGGACCTATCTGGCATATAGCTGTTAGTGGCCTAGACTTGTTCTTCCAAGGGAAGGAAGGGAGGCTTGGAGAAGAGATGAACTTATCACCCAACACAAGATTTTAAACCAAAGTCTCACGAATTGATCCACTATAGACTTGTCTTAACTTTAAAGAAATACACCTTCAGTGTCAGGCTGCATGAAGAGTGTAAGACTTGTTTGAGGGAAGAGGTTTGCTGTGTCTCTCCTTTCTCCTTTTGACAGATATGTGTTTCCTGAGAAATAAATCCCATGTACATCGGCCTCATTTCCAGCACTGAATAAGTACCACACGACAGAATCTCCTTGGCACATATTGAGACCAGGCTGATTCCCGTACATAAATCCATTCATGGCTGTAAAAGATGGAAAATAACATTTTTAAAGTGAAGTGGATTACCTTATGTTCTACTACATGACAACCTCCCAGACTTTCCAGAGCCAACTTTGTTTATTTAATTCATTCAGGCCTGTCTACTCTTTTATGTGTCAGGAGTGTCTCAGCAACTCCTGGCCATACCCAGCATCTCCAGAACAGCCCCAGGTCAAAATGAGCAGAGCTGAATGCAGGGTTCTTGAAGTTCTGTGCCCTGGAAATCTTACTGTTCTCCCCAGCTATCCACTTCTCAGTTCTCTCACAGGTCATATTTGTAAATACCCAAGTATACAAGCAATAATAGCTTTTCTTGGGCACTGTAGACTGGGAATGGATTCGTTGTCCTAGACAGAAAATTCTCTGACTCATCTTGAATAACAGGGCAGAATGTTTGCAGGAAGTTTTCTCTCACTGCTATTTGAATACTCTTTACTCCTTCAAAATTTAAAAATGCAAAATAAAAAGAAATATTTTAAAGATTATGGGTAATGTGACTAGTATCGATCTAAAAAATGTTGGTCTGTAACACAACTTCACATTTTTTTCTTCTTGCTACAGTGATTTTCACATGTTGTCTATTAGTGGTATGGGTGTTTTGAACAATTAACTTACTGTCCCTAAACCCTAACTACATTTTAGAATTACACTAGGAGCTAAACATAAATCTGGCGCTAAGTTTCAATTAAATAAAAATCTCTGAAGGTTTTCCTGAGTATTTAAAAAATAGTTTAGTTTTTCAAAGTTCTCAAGTGATTCTACTGTGTAGTCAAAGAGTGAGAATCATTGAAGTTCATTGAGAGCAGAGACCATATCTTTCTTCATTTTAAATAATAAAATGAACTTGTCATTTTTAAGCCACAGATGAGAAAAGCATCTAATCCAGTAGTTTTCAAATTTGAGCATATATCAGAACTACTTAGAGGGTTTGTTAGACAGGTTGCTGGCCCCACAGCCAAAGTTTCTGATTCAGTAAGTCAGGGTTGGGTCCAAGAATTTATATATCTAATAAGCCCTGGGTGATGCTGATGCTGCTGATCCAGAGGTCACATTTTAAGGACCACGCATCTAATTTACGTATTTTGTATGTTTTATCCTGAGTGAAATGAGTAACTGACCGATACATAAAATAATCAATGATATTACCCTCGGATCACTATTACACTTAATCATTTATTGAAAATTGATCAATGGGCACAGCTATTGGAATTTTGATATAATTAAAAGCATTCCATGTGCAGTTCTGAAGTAACTTGATAGATTGGTGGATGATACAGTACTTACAGTGCATCTTATTAGATTCCTGAAAATCTGCATCTTCCTTATCCACTTGATCAGGTGAAGTTGTAAACATTTTAATATTATCATCCAGGAGTAAACTCTCATTCTCGTCAAACACTGTGGGGAACAAATAGAACTCCTTGTCTATGTCTTTCTGTAAATCAAAACAAGAACAATGAGGTGAAGACAGGATAAATAAAGCAGAAAGACTTCCATGTACAAAATACTGTTTGTGCACACACACTAAAGAAGGAATAAAAACAAGTTTCCATTCTTCTTTGTAATCTGGATACTCCAGTTGACTACCAGAGTTTTCATTAGTATCTGTGTACTGGATTTTTGGTTCAACATGATAATCTAAGCCCCTCACTGCACCTAAAAGTTCTGACTCTTCTCTCTCTACACTGTCAATATTAATTGAACCCACCAAAAACAATTGTTAAAAAGGGGTGGGGGTGTGTGTCTGTGCTAGAAATCAGAGAAAGTGCCATCCATTCATGAAAACAAATTCTTATAAGGCAGAAGAATTCTTAGAAGGCAGACCATGTGAAAGAAGATAGAGAAAGGAATCATCTTTTCCTTGATGGGAAGAAATAGCCTGCCAAGTGAATTGGAACAGGAAGTCACACAGCCTCCAGCCATCTGGACAAACATTTTCTCTCCCTTTCCCTGTCCCTAGTGAAAAACAAGGAAGTAGAAATGCTATCTGGTCTATGAAATGATTCAGAGGTTCAGAAGAAGATACTCAGTCTAAGGAGTCAAAGCATATGAGCCTCAGAGGGCAAGTTACTCCTTCAAAGAAGATAAAATTTTAGAGATTAATGCATGTCTTCTTCCTTGGGTTATTTGTGTTTTTTTGTTTTTTGTTTGTTTGTTTGTTTTCAGATCAAAAGCATGCTTATTGAATTTTAAAAATCCAACTAAAGGAGGGATCTGAAGGTTAGATTCTGCAGAAAACTGAATCAGTGATGGTGATGATCTTAAGAAAGTTCCCATAAATCAGAAGAAAAGATTCAAGATTAAACATATACACATAAGAATAATTTTAGAGAGAAATTATGAAAGGAGAAGATATAATGATAATAAATAATAGTGGAAATATTCACCATTGTAAAAGAAAAAGTCTAGAGTATTCAGATTCAAAAGCTTCACTGAAAACGGAAAAATTAGTAAGAAAACTATACCTAAAAATGTTCTGGTAAAAATATTGTATTTTGGAGATAGGCAAATTTCTACAATGATCCATTTCAAAGTTATCAGAAATGTTGGACTTCTCTAGTACAAAATATGTCAGAGGAAGATGGAGCAGCATTTATATTTTTGAGGGGAAAGATTACATTATGAAAATTCTGTACCAGACAATAGACAACAAAAAGATATTCTAAGATGTATAAGGGTTCCAACAGGAGATTGCTACAATCACTTATATACTAACTTACAGAGAAAACTTCAGTGAAAAGATTACAGGTCACATTTTCTGATCAACAAAACTAAAAAGTAATAATAAAAAGACAAAAAGTTAAAAAAAAATGTAAAAGTTAATATTTGATCCAGATAAGTCCTAGATCAAAGAAGAAACAAAAAGCATTTAGTAAATAAAATATTTAGTAAATAATGTCTATGAGAACATGAGTCATAATGTATGAAATATAACTAAACACATAAACTAATAGTCTGAAATGCTTTTCATTTTAAGCAAAACTTAATAAAAAATGTTGTAAATATCTAAATGTTTTAGAAAAAGAAAATGTGAAAAAGAAAAATTAATAAAGACAAAAAGCGGAAATTGATAAATTATAACACAAAACAGCTAAACTGAAAATGTAGTCATATCAATAAAATACACAAAACTCTGACAAGTCTAATAAAAAACTGAGCTAGAACCCAAATATTCCACATTAGGAATGAGAAAGAAATATAACCACATATCGAGAGAGAAAAAAATTAAGACCACTATGTATAATAAATGTGCTAGTTGACTTAGAAGGAGGCACTTGAATAGACTGCTATCCATGGATGAAATAAAAACTGATTAAACCATAAACAACATAACTAACTACTTCTTAGAAGTTACAAAGTCAAAATAATTTTACAGCAGTTTCTTTCAAATTTCTACATAGAAAATGGTTTCCTATGTATTGAAATGTTGGGAGCTGAGCTAAATTGGCCAGCTTTGAGATAAACTATGGAGCTGAGCTAAATTGGCGAGCTTTGAGATAAGTGGTGCTAAAACTATTTTAATCACTCAGTGCTTTCAAAGAAGGGAGTTGTGAAAACTGCATCTGTTTTGCAGGACAGGTAATTGGGCTGACCTTGAGTCTTGACTGCTGTTTTCTCATTGCAATGCTATAACTAGTGTGTTTTGAATAAAC